TGGGACACTGAGTACTCGCCTAGTTATAACAACACAGTCGAGCAATGGGTGCAGAACGTGTCGAATCCATATGTGGAGTGCGTTTATTTTAGCAGGGTTCATAAGTGTACTACTATACATGGCTTACAGGCAGGCCCCTCTGATACCTCCATCTTAGGAGAAGTCCTGTATTTGACATTGCAAATAAAGTCGGGATGTGACTAGTTTCTTTGGAGGCTCTGCTCATGAGACTCCATCTTCGAGTGAGTTCGCTTCATAGTTCGTTTTTTTATTCGTATCCCGAGGTCCGTTTATTTCTCCATTGCTAGTTACCTTGCGTAATTAATGGCTGAATGGTTTGTGGAAGGCACTGGATTCCTACTTCGATAAACCTTTCGAATTGGAACCTAGAGATTTTCATTTCACGCAACACATTCCTGTTTATTTTTAGAGTAGGAATAGACCCTACAGCAGATCTACCATCGATGGTCTGTTGCTTGGCGTTTCCCGGTATATCTTGCCCTCTACACATCTTCGAACCACGCTATCGGAATATGATCAGACGGGCCATCAATTCTGGTTCTAGGCGATTCGGCATGTTCCTTCCTGGTTCAGGTTCTCATGGTCTTTCTCAGGTCAGTGGTGATTGTTGGTTGTTGTGGTACCGTGACGGCATCGTGAAGTTACTTTGTGTGCTTTCCGCTCTACACGGCCTCGCGTTCTCCATACACGTCCTAATCCTTACAAATTACTGCGTGGCCGTACTGCAGGGATACTGCGCTAACAACAGCCTATCAGTTGTTCAGTGAACGCTTAGCATACCTTCGAAATAACATGCAATTACGACCGCCAGTTTTGAATCTGGACATCCATTCCACACAAAGCAAAGCTGGAACCGGTAATGGGAGTGTTTTTCTTGTTGTCATGTTCATCTTCTTACGGGTTGATTAGTGGCCAAAAGGTGTAATCCATGGCCATATTTAGAGGAAAGTCATTTCCATTATGATTAAAGGTTCGGTCGAGTAAACAGGCAACAGAGAATCGGTGTTAATCCCACTGCAACTCAGCATCCCTTAGTCGAATGTTGAATTGTTCAAAAAGTTACAGCTTCGAATTTCCCTTTACGGATTTGTGAATAGTGCACGGCAGATGTGACAGCTCTAGGGTGCGCTCTTGAGTTTGTGCTTTCCGTTTGGTTTAATGGGCCGCTGACCCCCCTTATGCTGTTGGTGTCGTGTACAGTTGAGTAATATTAGAATGCTTGTTGGGATTTACTGCTTTTGATTTACGCATACTGAGTGATTGGATGTTTGCTTGCGGTAAATTCCTCATACCTACCGGCTATTCGCTTAGCCTCCGTTTTTTCGTGCTACTGTCTATTTCGAATTCACACAATCACACATCAGCATCGTCGACGATATGATGAATACCTGCCAAATCGTTCAAGATGGAAGACAGAATGACTTTCATGGTCCACTTACTGATGAACGTGCCAAGCATGTGGTGTAACCTATTTAGCGTTCCTTGGGCTTCTACAACTGTAGACGTAACTCCCAGTGTTCTACTCAAATTCGCTCGTACACCTATCAGTTTGGGTCTTGTCATCCTCATCACAACTGATGAGCTCCGAGAATGCTAACCTCATGCAGAATAAAAGGGAGGGGTTTTGTTACGTAGTAAACAGTGTTACACAAAGATCCGTCCTGCACGTCACGTTTCGTTAATTTTGTTATTTGGTGGGTTGACTGTTAAACGCTACTTGGACCTGATTGACTTCATAGACATACACTACGTCTCCAGTGGTTTTGCCCTTCATGTTCTGTTTACTACGTCGCAGTATAGATTCTAAT